TTAATATAATTTATTAACAAGAAAAAAAAATATATAATAAAAATTAATACCTGTAAAGAGGGTGAATTGATAAGGAGGTGACCACCGAATTTTATTTGCGAAATCGCATTGTTTTACCGGAGAATTAGGCCCAATATAATTGGTAGGAATAGTACATATGGATATCGTTTTGGATATTATTACTATACATAAAGTAAAATTGAGAACGTAAAAGCAAAACATCCTTGATCTAGATTCTTTTTGAACCTATTCCAAAATTTTTTTTTTTTTTTTTTTTTTTTTTTTTTTAGAAAGGTTGCTTTGATAAATAAAAAAAAACATGAAGTATTCTAAAAATAATTAAAAATAAATATCAACCTACCCCTTTCTTTATCATTAAGATCATAAGGATAAATAAAGGAATGTAATAAGGTATGATATCGGTAAAGTCTTTGGGAAGATAATCATCTTGATTCCATAAAAGTAATTCTAACTGGTAAAAAAAAATTATTATCGTCCAAGATCCAGTTATCAATATATTTGAATGAACAAAAAAGATTAAAACAATATATTGTGTAAACATTCCTATGACAGGATGGGAAAAGAAGAACGAAATACGAATTAGTTTTTTAAAAGATCAAAAAAAAAAATAAAAGAAATAAAGGTGGTGTAAAATGTTTTAAGAAATTTTTACGTTCAATGTCTTTACGTGTCGTTAAAGTAAATTCCGGTAACAATTTCCAATATCTTGTGTATCATATAAACGAACGAATTGAATTAATTGTATTTGTTTTACATTTTATATTCTTATACATCTGTATCTTTGCGTTTAACCTACCTCTTACACCATAGTAAAACCACGATAAATAAAAACATAATTTGAAAAATACATAAAATAATCAAAACAGCAAAATCATGTTTAATTTTTCTCTCTATACTATCATTATTCTTCAATGAAATTCCTAAAAAAAGTAAAAAAAATTTTATGATTAAAAAAAAAACAAACATCACCAAACAAACAAAAACAGAACTTACTTTGATAAGAATCAATACAAAAATCATACGAAATATTTTTGGGTTTTTTTAAGCAATAATCATTTAAGTTATAATCAAACATCAAATTTAAAATAAAAAACAATATGGGAATAGTTGTTAAGATACAAAATAAAATCGCACGTATCAGTGTTCTCGCTCTAACCTATTGATCCGTATATATATATATATGATAGGATTAGTTTATGAAAGGAAAAAAAGAAACTTCTTCTAAATAGATATCGAGCTTACGGTAAATCCGGCAGATAAAATGATGAATGGGATGAGAATAACGATCGGTTCGGAATAATCGATGGTTACGATCGAATTCAAGAATAAAAATATTATATATATGCAAATTATTATCAAAAAGATTTTTTCTAATGTATTATATGAATCTATCCATTCTTTCATTTTAATTCTGATATTTTTCTGATTTTTAATCCTGTTCCTCATCGTTGAAAGATTGAAAATTTGAATTTGAAAACCTGGATCAATTCGTTCTTACCTTAAATGTAGATAGTTAATTATTATTTCAAAAATCTAATTTAAGTATAGTCATTGTACAATGAATGCATATACAAGATAAATAAAAGTCGTTTGTGACAGATTTGCTCTGAATCAACTCGATCATGTTTGTATTTGATTCAATTTTTAAAACAAAACGAACCGAACCATTTTGGTTCAAAATTATAAGAGGAACCATTGGTTTAATATTAACGATATTAATCTTATTCTATGCATTTGCACAATTTACCGAATTCTATCATAAATTTAAAATCCCGGGAGTGCTGATATTTGAAGAAAAAAAATACCATGTTTTTCCCGAAGTAAGATTTTGTTTAGAAAGGAGACGAATACCTTATCGAGATATGTTGAGCACCCAAACATTAAATCCTATACAATGTGAATGCCAAACACCGAACGAAATATCGACTTGTTCATGTTATAATTTCCTTCAAGAATCAAGACAATGTCAAGTATATAAGCAAATGGGAATTTCTTATAATACCATGTGGTTTACAATTGATAATATTGATACTTCATTTGAAGAAATTACATTTGAAACTTCTGATGAATCAAGTCAAAATTTTACGGTAGCTACATTCCTGACGATTGATATTAATGAATTTAATTTACAAGATGATTTGTACATGAAAAATCCCATTAATAGTTCAGTATATCAACTATCGGTTCCAAAGGTTTATCTGACAGGTGGTCAATGGTTGTTATTAGAATATTCTTTCACTATATTCAATCCTTATTCGGATTTGTTTTGGAATTTAATCGGTTTGTTTGAATATTCTAAATATCACAACATTTTAAAAATTGATTGGTATGAAACAAATTTTCCTGATTTGCCACAAAAGAATAAGATCGTTGTTGGAATTAAAGGCAAATCGAATTCAACCAGATATGAACAAGAACATCATCGGTTAACAAGTAAGTAATGGAAAGAATGTGAAGTTATTATTATTATTATTATTATTTTATTTAAATTTCCCATTTTCCTTCTGTACAAAATTGTATCAAGTTGCGGGAAATATATCAAGCCTTGGTGGTTTTTATACAGCTTGTGCAGGAATTTTCTTTTATTTATTTGGTAATCCAAAGTTATCTCCTTGGGGTGCGGCTCAAAAAACTATCTTTATTTGTTGGCCTTGTAGAAGAAGTTTTCAAAAAAATCTCGCAAATCGTTATGTTTCAAGTGCCGGCATCCCATTTGGTGAAAAAGTCAAACGAATGCCTCCAGATTCTTCAATAGAAGAAAGACTTCAAATAATAGAAGTAAGGGACCATGGAAATAGAAATTACAATTTTTTTTTTTTTTGTTTTTTTTTTTTTATAAATGTGAAAATTTTAAATGATGGTTTGTTAACCCTTTTTTTCTGTTTCTTTTTTTGGGGAGATATTAATAATAGGTACTGTTACAAGAGTATTATTTAGATACGTATTATATTGATCAATTGAAATTGGTTAAACGAAAATTTCGAAAGAAACGAAGAGATTATGAAGAGTTAGAACAATTACCTCCTCCTGAAGATGATTTAACTTTAAACGAACAAGATTACGAAAACTCTCTCATGGAAAGAAAAAATTTTTCTTTGGTTGATAAATCAAAAGGTAAAGAACGAGTCAATTCCAGATCTCGTACTTCCTCTTATTACCATCGAAACGGATCCTCGAGTTCACCTTCAATGATTCAAATTATCGAACCTCCTCCTGTTAATGAAAGAGATAATGAAGAAGTGAATATTAGCGATGATACAATAAGGCAGTTTAAATATTCGAGAAGATCGAGAAATTCTTCGTTAGGTACTGATAACATAAATAGTCCAGCAGCTAGTGGATCTATTTCAAAGAGTCTTAGACATAGTGCTAATAGTTTACCTTTATTAAACTTTGATAAATAAAGCGTTTAAACGAATTTGTGAATTAAAGTCCTATGGGAGCAGGGACGATGATTTTCTGTTTCACATAATTTCACAGAATAAGGTTGATAATTTTCAAAATTGTGGCCTGATTTAGGATTTGCAATCATCGTAATGCTGGCTGACATTAAGATTGGCCAGAATTTGCGAATCGTAATGTTGGCTGATCTTGCATAATTCTGGCCAAATCACAGAATTTCACAAAATTAACTTTTATCACACGCAGAATTCATCCTTAAACACCGCAGACAATCATCGTCCCCTGCATGGGAGAATCGTTTTTGTAAGACGTTAGTACATCATGTGATCATAATAAGTTTGACGCGAAATTTTTATTTTTATTTTTACATGACAAAATTCACTTAATTGACCCGTCCTAATTTATCGAACTGCAGTTACATATGTCTGATATATGCCGTGCAAAAACTACATTTCGTGCAGGTTATATAGTTTTTTTTTTTAAAAAAAAAAAAAAAATTCTGCTGCGCCAATTTTAAACTATTTCATTTAATCAAACAACCGTGATTATTATAAAAGCCATGCTCATCAGTGATTTGTTTTTAATAAGAAAATGTATTTCATATATTTACGTCAAAGTTGATCATAAATACGCACATCTATCAAAAAAAAAAAAATAAAAAAAGAATAATAAATTTTATTATTATTTTTTTTTTTATTGATAAATAGCTTCTTTTGAATTTCGACTCTAATATATATACCTTTGTTAAATAATTCTATTAAAAAAAAAATAACCTTTTATATAAAATAAGTAGTTTTCATGTATCAAACTTATAAAGTTCCATTAATAACTTTAAATTCATGTTGCAAAAAACCAATCATGTTCGATGATACCAATATTTTACGTAGCAGGTTCAAGAATTCTTCTTCTGAACATGATACAAATAGTACTTTACAAAATACGAGTTCTTTACGTCGCAAAGATATGGAATGCCTGAAAGTTATTATAGATGCTACAACCTTACAGAATACTGTGGTTGGAGTTAATATGTCTGAAATGACTTCAGGACTTAAAGATTCAGGCGTAAGAAACAAATTTCTTGTTCAGCAAGATAAGGCACTACTACCACATAAAGATAATAAGGGACCTCGAAAACAGGAATTGGAATTAGATATAAACGATTTATTCGAGTATGATGTTGACAACAGGTAACCATTGATGATCAACTCCTCCACTATTATTAAACTAATTAACCATGAATTGATAATTTAGTTTTCGAAAAAATGAACAAAATGAACAAGAATCAATTCTTGGAGATGCTGTTGAGGAATTAAATGAAATAATCTCTAATTCACGATTTTTATACACATCTTCAAAGGGCAAAAATGATGATATCACCTTATCTTCACCTGCTTGGGTACCTTCTCAGGTTTGGATGAATTACGCTAGTGTTGGAGAGGAATTTAAACAAGGTTCGTAAATTATTAAAAAATTGCAATCTTTTTCTCTCAAGTCTAATATTCTCGCGAAATCAATAGGAATATCATCATCTCCAATCTTAAGACCCCAAAATCCAATTCCTTATCATGAGTCCTTTATGAATCATGATGACAGTGCTGAAAATGATACATTGTTTCCTCGATCAAATATTTCTTCTGGAACAAAATTGACTAATCCGGATTCACTGAAAAATGACCTTTCATTCAAGGAACGTGGATTTTCGCATTTCAATAGCATCTAAAAGGCATTGATGTAAATAAAGATAGATTGTAAATACCAAGTAACGTAATTCGCCTAGCTGATTACATTTGTATAAATAGATAGAAATAAAAAATATAATATCGCATTTTAGCAGTTTTGTCAATGAATTAATATAGTAGTTAAATAATACTAGGTTAGCAGGATCTGTTGTGTGTCCGAAACTAAAAACAATAAAAACAACTATACCAAAATTTAAAGTGTCGCTTGTGATGTGCTATATGATTAATTTCTTAATGCGAAATACGATTCAAGATTAAAGTGGTACGATCAAAGGTGGTAGAATTAAATATGTTAAAAAATACACAGCCGTTTATGATTTGTCCATGGAATAATTTGTCATGGAGAGAGTTTATTTAAACTTTGACCATAATAAATTATTACTTATATAAAAATACATTAAAACAAAAGTTTGATAATTTAGCATGTATGTATTAATTATTATATACAGGATACTTTAATTAAATTTTTTTTTGATGTTAACATTAAATATAAAAGAACAATTATTAAAAATATTTTCTTTATGTTGGAAGTGAGAGATCAGTTGGCATTAATTTATTACTCTCAGTTGTATCCGAATTCTTTTGTGCAGAATCGTTTTGCAATTATAAAATATAAACTTTAGTTTCTTTATAAAACATGTAATGATAAAATAAATAAATAAGAGAACCTTCTATTGTCTAGTGAGAACTGAAAAATGCATTCACGCGATTTTTTTACCAAACCTATAAGATGTAAATTATTAGATAATCTTTAATCAATATAATTATCAAATTTTTTACTTGTTAAAGTAAATACTAATTTTGTAAATCTTTAATGAGAAGAGCTGATACATAATAACATTTACTATAATCTGATGATATAGCAATTATTAAACCTTTGAGAATCTTCTCCAAGTGAAATCTAAAATTTATATAAAATTTTTATAAAGAATAACAGATTCAGATAAATACATTATTAGCTTTAATTCTATCAATTATAGCTCTTAAAGAATTTAATCATTAATATATTCATAAATTTTAGGTAAAGTGTATACTTCAGAAATGTTATCTACAACTAAAACTTTATTTTGATCATAAATATTAAATAAACTAGAATTCTTTATATTCAGAAAGTAAAATAAACAGATTAAAGGATAATTTAATAACCCTTTTTGTTTAATATAATCTACAGTAGTGACGAAAAAAACTGGCAGTAAATAAAAATTCATTTACTCGATCAATATTTATTAAAATCATTTGAAATTTAAAATATAAATAAACTAATATCACATTTATTATATATTAAAATTTTAATATTGAATTACATTGCCATTCCTTTCAATTACCAAATTTACCCTCCTTTTTATACTATTGACTAAATTAAAACAAAGGTTTTGATCGATATTGAACCATTCGCTCTTAATAATTTCCATAAAAATTCTTTGAGTAATTAATTTTTTTTACTAATTCGTTTATTGACCTTCTTTTCCACTCTTTTCTTGATAATCGCCTACAAATTTTCTATTGGATTTAGATTCAGGAAATATGACAGCCAATTGAGAATCACAGGACATTGATTTTTGAGAAGAGATACTATAAGCTTAACTTTATGTTTCAGATTATTGTCCTGTTAGAATGTCCAGGATCCTCTAAGAAGCTGATATACTTGATCAAAAGATTATTTGTTAAAATTTTACGGTACAACTCCCCATTCATGTTTTCAGTAAACATGTGAAATTCAACGATTCCTTGCAAATAAAAAGCCCCCTAAACATGAACTTTGAATGGGTATTTGACAACTCCACGAGTTGGTTTTTCTTCACCTTCTTTATAATGAACTAAGGTAATGTTATGGAATATTTAAAAGATCATTTCATCAGAAAAAATCATATTTTCCCAATTTTTATTTTTATGAACTTCTGCTCAAGAAACTTGTCTCTTTTTTGCAATTAAAGTGAGAAATGGGATTTTTTTAAGAATACAAACTTGGTAACCAAACTTCTAAAGATTCTCACAGACTGTGCAAGTGACTATATTAAGACCTGGATAAGTATTATTAAGAATGTCTATAATTTCAAAACTTGTTGCATCAGCATGCAAACGAACGAGTTAACCAAGATAACGCTACTTTTTTGAACTTAAAATCTTTGGGCGTTCAGGATGATATTGTTGATTTAAATTTTTTGATTTTTTTTAACTGAGATGACCACTGATACAGTGTTCTTAGTGGGAATTTGGTAATTTTGTGTAGTTCATTTACATTTCGTATTTCATTATTCTACAACAATTTAACTACCTCATGTCGTTCTTTAATAGAAATTTTTTGCAGTATTATTAAATCATATCGGTCATAAGGTACTCTTGTATTCAGTTTTTTTATGCAATTAATTAGTATAACATAGTAAACAACCAAACAAAAAATTTGTTTATGTTATCCAATCAGATGTGATGTAAATCATTATTTTAATCACATGATCATAACTGCCATTTTTTCCGTCACTACTGTAAATAAATAATATATATATATTTACAATAGAATAAATATATCCTATACTTATGTTTTAGACAAATAGAGTTTTAAATAGATTAGATCAGTAGAATTGTTTATTTTAAATAATGTCTTATCATTTTTATTTATATTTTAAATATTATAATTGATTTTGATCATTAATTAATTTTAACCATTATAATTAATTTTGACTACTATAATTAATTTCAACTATCATAATTGATTTTGACTTTTCAAATTTTTTTATAAATGGTTAAAATTAATTTTGATTATTTTGACAATCTAAATCAAAATCAAATAAATTTTAGTTTTATGTATAAGTATAAATATAATATAAAATTTTATTATATATATAGATCTAATATAATTTTATTTATAATCTTTGAAAATATTATGTGTATACAGTGATTTCTATAATTATTGTATCACTTTGTTTGTAATTTTTAGATTGTAATAAATAAAAATTTGATGATTGAACAATTTGCAGATTTAATTAATGTATTGTCTGAGTCTTCTTTTATAATATATTCAAATTCAAATTTCTTTTTATTTATAATTTTAAAAAAAATTCTTTTATAACATAAATTTTATGATATAATACTTTTGACACATATAAAAATAAAATCAAAAATATAAATTTTTCAAATTTTTTTTAACAAACTATGCTCTAAATTTTTTAACAAAACTATCACTATTTCGTATATTTCCCATTAGCCTTAAGTACATTTTTAACTTATTATAGCATAGTATCAATTAGCTTTAAACAAAATTCAGCATTAATTTAATTCTATACTAATTGTATCTTATTCCACAAATCTTCTGCACTAGTAATATTATTGGAAAGCTGTCACAAATGATGATTAATTTCATTTCACAAATGTTCAATGGAGTTTAAATCTAGTAATTGTGCTGATCAATCTAAAATTTTAATATTATTGTTATCAAACCACTTGTATGTTTTCTTTGCTGTATGTTTTAGGTCATTATCCTATTGGAAAATGACATCATTTACATTTAAATCACATGCGGTAAGGGTCCTTAAAAACTCATCTCTCAAAATTTTTCTATATAACTCTCCATCTATTCTTCTGTCAATTTTACAATACTTTTTGATGACATATAGCCTCATATCATTACAGAACCTCCACCAAACTTTACAGTTAGTTTAATATACTATAGTTACAAAGGTAAATTTGGATTTTTCTAATACTACACTCTCTCATTTAAGCCAAAAATTAAGAATTTACTCTTATTTAATCACACTACTTTTCACCAATCTTCTATAGTCCAATTTTTATATTTTTGAATAAATTTTTTTCATGCTTTTCTATGTCTCTTTAGCAGCAATGATTTTTTTTAACTCTAGCTACAAAACCTTACCTTTTCAATGAGTGTCAAATAGTATTAGTAAAATAATAATATTTTCGTTGAAAATTAAAGATTTTTAAATTTAAATAGCATTTGTACATTCACCTGACTTAATAAGCCTGGCAATATTCCTATCATGACATTCTGTAAGTATTCTTGTGCGGCCTAATTTTGAAATAATATAAAAGCTGCCTGTTTCTTTTTTTCTTTGTTTAATTCTTATTACAGAAACATGACTTATATTTTTGCAAAAAGTAATTGTACGACTTAGTAAACCTTCTTGAATAAGAGTAAAAATACATTCCCTTTAGTAAAGTAGAATCACCTTCATAATATATTTTAAAAAAATAAAAAAAAAAGGTATACAAATTGATCTACTGATTTAAATTTACTTATATGTATAAGATGCGTCACATGATCATAACTTTCTTATATTAATTTTGATTTCAAAAGTATTGTATCATGAAAAAATTGCATATAAATAAATTTTTTAAAAAGCCACAAATTAAATAATATTCAAATTTAAATATATTAAAAATCTGATTACAGGCTTTAAACTAGTTTAAAATTTTAGCCTTATAGTCACATACTTATTCAGGTATTATGATCTAAAAATTAAAAATAAAGTAGTACAATAATTATAGAAGTCACTATATATATATATCATATGCATTTAAAAATATATTTACGTAATAGTTTATATGATAATTTACATAATAACTTATGTAATTATAAATTTATTAATTATTAATAGAATTATATAATCAATATTAATTAAAATTAAATAATAGAAAATAATAAAAATATCAATAAAATATTAAGTTAAGTTAATAAAAAATAGTATTTTAATTAAAATTTTTTAATCATTAATAATTTATATTTTTTAATATTAAAATAATTGGAATATTTAAAAAAATCAAAAAACTTTTCTTATCCCTTAAAGCGTAGGTATAAATTGGCTATAAAATATTATAGAAAAATTATAATATTTTAATATCTAATGAT